CGAGGAATTTTCCCGACTCCACTCCGAAGACGCACTTTGCTGCATTTAGCTTCAACCCATACTCCCTGAGAGTGGAGAAGGTATCCGCCAAATCTGTAAGATGATCACCACTCCGTTTGCTTTTTACCAGCATGTCGTCTATGTAGACCTCCATGGTGTTGCCGATCTGTCTCTTGAACATCCGATTCATCAATCTTTGGTATGTTGCCCCGGCGTTCTTCAATCCAAATGGCATCACTTTATAACAATAAACTCCCTTCGGAGTGATAAACGCCGTTTTTTCTTGGTCCGGGGCATAAAGAGGGATCTGATGATATCCCGCTCGAGCATCCAGGAAGTCCATTCGTTCATATCCGGCTGTGGCATCTACCAGCTGGTCCACCTTCGGCAGGGGGTAGTCGTCCTTGGGACATGCCTTGTTAAGATCTGTGAAATCCACGCAGACACGCCATTTCCCCCCTTTCTTTTTTGCACATACTGTATTGGACAGCCATTCTGGGAACTGTATCTCTCGAATGGCGCCAGCTCTCAGGAGTTTGTCTATTTCCTCATTGACCGCGTTGGCGTGATGCGGGGCCATACGTCGTGGCCTTTGCTTTACTGGCTTGTGAGATGGGTCAACATGCAGCCTGTGAGTAATTATTTCGGGGTCTACTCCTGTCATTTCCATTTCGTTCCAGGCGAACACGTCTGTATTCCCTCTTAAGAACCTGATCATCTCCTCCTGTTCGGCTGCGGGCATCGAGGTCCCAACTAGGAAATACTTCTCTTCTTCTCCTTCTATCAAGGGCACCTTCCGGAGGTCTTCAACCGACCGTTCCGCTGGGTCTACCCGGGGGTCATCCATCCCCGGACGCCCGGACTGTAATTGCTATTTTTCTATGATCTCTTCCGGTGCTCGCCCCTTCTCCTGGCCGGACGATCCGGCTCGGACGGCCGAATAAAAACAGTTCTTCGCAGACGCTTGATCTCCCCGGATCTCCATGACGCCCTCTGGCGTGGCGAACTTCAACTTTTGGTGGAGAGTGGAGTGTACCGCTCCCAAAGCGTGTAGCCATGTTCGACCCATAATCACGTTGTAAGGGGAGTCCGTGTCGATCACCACAAACTCTGTGTCGATGACGAAGGGACCAGTGGCGACCGGTAATGTAATTTTCCCCACGGGCAAGGCGAAAGAGCCGTTGAACCCGATGAGGGGTGTCCTGATTTTGGTCAAGTCTTTGGGGCCAAACCCATCCGCTTCAAAGTCTCGAAGTACATCACCTCCGAGGAACTCCCTGAATCTATCAAGATTCTCTTGACATCGAATTTCCCTATCTTCAGGGTTAAGACAAGGGCGTCGTTATGAGGAATCACCACGCCCGTCAAATCCGCGTCAGAGAACATAATGCCAAGCTCACCCATCCTGGCCCTTTTGCTTGATGGCCCCACACCTCCTTCGGCTACCTTTCTGGTAAAAGCTACCCTCTTGAGGTCGGATTCGAGCTCTTTGGACGTGGGGCGCTCCAGTGGACACACATGGATGACGTCTATGACGTTGTTTGGTTCCTCGGTCGGGGCATGGGCTCGTTTCTCTTCTGGCCTGGGCTCTATGTATTCTTTCAGATATCCATCTCGGACTAAGTTCTCCAAGAATGACTTGAACACCCTGCAGCTCTCGGTGCGATGCCCGACATCCCGGTGATATGAGCATCTTACTGTTTGATCACGGGTGGAGAGGTCGCTTTGCATCCTGGGCGGCCATTTGAAAAACGGTTCATGTTTGATTTTATGGAGCAACCTGTAGATGGGTTCCTTGAAGACGGTGTGAACTCCTCTGGACGAACCCCCTGGACGGGGTAGCAATCCCTTCCGGGGAATATCTTCGTGCTCTTTTTCCTTTCTCTTGGGTTGGAGGGCTCGGCCTTTGTTGCCCCCCATCTCGTCCTCGACCCTTGAGTACTTGTTGATTCGGGCCATCAGTTCCCCCATATCCGAGGGAGTCTTTTTGGTCAGGGATCGGTACAGGTCCGTGTCCCTGGCCAAGCCGAGCCGGAATGATGCTGCTGCCATGACCTCCGAGCATCCCTCGACCTCATTGACTTCTTCCCAGTATCGGATGGCGTACTGGCGAAGAGTCTCGGATTCCCTCCTCCTGAGGGTCAGCAGTGATCCAATGTCCTTTGGGCGCTTACTCCCCGTGATGAATCGGGTTAGGAACTGCCTTGTCAATTCTTTCCAGGACCCAATACTGTTTGGGGGAAGCGCCTCGAACCACCTCATCGCGGAGTCCCCCAAGCTCATAGGGAATACCCGGCATAGAAACCGTTGGTCCGAATGATAGAGGGACATCATCTGCTTATACTGTCTGATATGGGCATCGGGATCAGATCGCCCATCATAGGTCTTGAACCGTGGCACGACGAACTTTCTTGAGACGTCCATCTCGCTGATTTCCCTCGTGAAGGGTGTTTGCATGACTTCGTCCTCGGCCTCGTCCTGGATCGTCTTGCCCTTTCTCCTGGAGTCTAATCGGGCTCTGAGATCTACTTCCCTTGCGGGATGCCTCCTGAAGTCTCTGGGTTCGTCGGTAAGCCCCTCGTTTCCTGGGCGTCGTGTAGATTGGGTTGAGTCCTCCTCGGATTCATCTCCCTTCCTCCGTCTGGATAAACCTCGCCGGAGGTCGTCCAGGGCCAATGGCCTTGCTTTCCTGGAATGGTTGTCAAGATGGCATTCGCCGGCCCTGGGTCGCTTCGGGACCCTGGAACTTTCTGCTTTGTGATCCAGGTGGTTCCCTAGGTCCTTTGTCTCCGCCTCATGGACGGGGAGTCCTCGGGAGAGGAATGAATCCCTCGACCCTCTGCCTGAGGCAGCAAACTCGTCGAGCCGGCTAAGAACGTTTACATTGTCCTTCTCCAGCTGACGTAATCTATCGCCAAATTTCTCTTCAATCACCTCTGCCAGCTGACGGGCCAAGGGGGCTGATCCTCCTGACCTGATACCCATACTGGTTTGAGGGGTTACCCCCCTTGACTGAGTAGAGGCACTTTTAATCGTACTGGTGCGATCCCTCCCTCCGTGATGGCAGGGAGCTTGCAACTCATGACTCCGTTGATGGGGTCCTTTCCCTTTCTGTCTGGTGTTCACCATGGTCACTGTTCTTTTATAGAGAAAAGATTAGGAAAACTACTCGTTTCCCACAGACGGCGCCAGATTGTGCGGGCTTGATCCTGCACGATATATATAAAATATTGGGAACAGATCTCTCCCCTGGTGAACTCTGGGTGAGCCGATTGAGTGGCCAAGCACACTGCTCGAAACAGCTTACGATCCTGGGAAAGGAGGGACGATCCTGTACGTGCGAAAGGTATTTCCTGGGACAAAAGAGAACAAGTTAGAAGGGCGCCGGAGTGTTTTCCGGCGTATCCCCTCCGACGGTCTAGTCAGTCTTTGAATGAGAGAGAGGAAGGAGAAAACACTGAGAAGGATATTTTGTAGTAGAGAGTTTGTGATTGCATACCCGCTTTGTCTTTTTGGGAGGGGTATTTATACCTTAGAAGATCATGATTGCTGTCAGTGTGGTCAGTAGGTAATCATCAGGCACAGGTAGCGTGTGTAATCATTTGATGAGGAATGTCTTCTCTAATTGATTGCTCGGGGTCCCGAACAATCAATGCTGAGTCTGTCGGGACGCCGACGGTACAATATGCTCCTGTCGGGAAGGATGCAATAAATGCTCTGTAATAGGAGCATTTATTGCCTTTCATATCCGAACCTTACCGCATTGAATGCGGTCTCGTCAACAGAAGGGTGCAATTAATTGTTTGCTTTCCCAAGTCGCGTGTCAGCAGCGGCATGCGGTTTGTCTGCTTCGGATGTGACATTATTTGCCACGCGTCCATCCCTTATTGGCTGTTACGTCGGTATTCCAGCACGTTCTGACATTACTTGTGTGAGAGGAGGTCATGATGAATAATCCATACTGGCATAGGCTGATGTCCAGTATGTCCGTAGCTTTATCCGGGAGTAGAGGAAGCGTCCAGGATGGAGTGACCCTCGGCGCCGAGGAAAGGCTCACCTCGGGACCAAGGGGGTGGTGTGTCCCGAGGTACACGTGTGACCGAGGACACGTGTTTGTTGTATAACATACCGAATGTGTGATCCTATATGAGAGGTACCTCGGGGTAAAGGACGCTCTTCGCCGATGGTGCTTACATCCAGGCAACACTGTTCCAAATATCCCGAGGACACGTGTCATCATCTTAGTGCTTTTCAGAAGAGTCCCATCACAAACTAACCAACTCTGTACTGTCAATGGAAGCCAGCTAATAATAGAAAATGTATTTACAAATGAATAGAAAACAAGGAAACTAGTGTAATTACAAATCAACCCTTTTCTATATTTGTGCTCAGACGTCTTGTAGCTTGATTCTCTATACTGTGTAATAACTCAGGTGACATGTCTTCATTAGTTGAGGTGCATTGCAGAGCACGTTGTATTTGAAATTGCATCTACAAAATTTGTTGCATCATCTATTGCTGCACATCTTCAAACTTCTCTAGCTTCACTTTCATTTTATCGCGTTCCTTCTGAAGAGAATCAATAACTGCTTGCAACTCTTTTATCTTATCAGCTTGTTCTCAAGACTCAGCAGTGGATCTCAATGACTAATGTAAAGTGGAACCGAGGAACCCATAGAATTGTCATACAACAATCCAATAGCTAATGTAACAAATGAGCACTATCCTAATGAACCATCAAGAGAACATAAAACATTGTCATACCTTTTGTATAAGTGGAAATACATACCATTGTCAGCTATCCCTCATTCTTTGAATGGTTAGGATAGACAACTTCAAATAATGATAATATGTCAGGCATTTCAACATATAGTTGATGTGCATTATCGAGGAAATAGGTGGGGGCGACAGTTGGCTATTTGGCGGTGGTAGTGACGAATGTTGGGGCTGTGGTGGTGTCTGTGGGGTGGCTGTGACCTGGCTTCGAGAGCTGTAGAGTGGGTTTGCAGGGTCTATGGTGGGGATTGGTTCAATGGTGGATAGTGGGTAGTGGTTAAGAAACTTCAACCAATAAGATAAACAAATGAAATAATCCATGAAAATGCAACATAAAGTTTGTGTTTGCAGAGAAAATCCAGCAGAATGAACTCACAATTCTCTTGATAGTGATCCCAACACATTCTCAAGAAACTCTGACCCATCTATTCTTTTCCCAGATGACTTTGACCCAACAGAGCTCTAGATACAAAATATATCTATGAAACTTGCTCTAGATAATAATTAGAGTTAAGAACTTCCTGATTCCTCGCGTTTCCTCTTCTGCTGCCTTAAAGAAATAGAAGTTTAACCCTAACATGGAATGGGATCAAAAAAGAATTGAAATAGAACTTCAACAGTTTTTAAAGAGAACATACCCCATAGAAGAGAAATCTGAAGATTTCAATTCCGCTTTGGTAGTGCCATCTTCTTTTGAGTTTGCCTTAACATGATGATTCTGCAAAGGAAAAGGCATTATATATAGTAATATTATAGAAGCAAATATCAAAAAGAACTTAACGCTTACAATACCATCTGGACCTAGAACAGAAGGAGCACAGCTCCTCAAGAAGTTATGACTCCACATATTTATAATGCATTGTTACACGTATCATATCATCACCAGTCAGGTTAAGTTTACCCTTTAAGACCTCATAAAAAAAAAAAAACTGTTCTCACAGTAAAGTGGAATGTGATTCAGAACAAAACTGTAGGGGATTTATCCGCGCGTTCGGGATGTCCTCCCCCCACAGAAGGATTTCAGCTGACCTGCGCGCGTCCGGCAGTGGCCTTTACCCCTCAGTGCCCGCAGGAGCTTCGTCCCACATCGACTGAGAGTCGTCTCCCCCCTTCGCATATAAGCCCTTGCACTCAAAGGAGGAGGTACCCACTAGCGACCTGATCAGGTGCCTAGTGGGTACCTCCTCCTTTGAGTGCAAGGGCTTATATGCGAGGGGGGGAGACGACTCTCAGTCGATGTGGGACGAAGCTCCTGCGGGCACTGAGGGGTAAAGGCCACTGCCGAACGCGTGCAGGTCAGCTGAAATCCTTCTGTGGGGGGAGGACATCCCGAACGCGCGGATAAATCCTTGGGTACCTCCTCCTTTGAGTGCAAGGGCTTATATGCAAGGGGGGGAGACGACTCTCAGTCGATGTGGGACGAAGCTCCTGCGGGCACTGAGGGGTAAAGGCTACTGCTGAACGCGCGCAGGTCAACTGAAATCCTTCTGTGGGGGGAGGACATCCCGAACGCGCGGATAAATCCCCTACAAAAACAAAAATATTTAGCTGAACACATGGCTATCTACTATGGGTTTCAACAAATACTTAATGTTTCCTTATAGATTTCTCATCTGTAAGAACATATATTTCTTTTAGACGGACTTCACAAAAATGAGAACCCAAAACAGTCAAAATATATGGCACTTTAGAAACTGATGAAAATGAAACAAATAGATGTAGCAAAAGAGACGCTATAATAACCAAGAGTGAGATAAGTACAAAGGATGAATAAGCAAAAAACTCAGAACCATGTGCTTGACACACATTGGTCATATGATGTGGTCGAGACACACACTGGACATATGGTGTCCAACTATTAACATTAACATTATGAGCATAATAGAATCACAACAAAAAACTGCCAAAAATATTTTACCAAGACATTTATGTGATTGAGCTAAAACTAAAACCAAGTTTAGTATTTAACGGAGTCTCCAGGAAATTATGTTTCAGACAATGCCATATAAAAAGATAGGGGGAATGGCGTAAGTAATACCTCCATAATGATCTTCACAAAATTTCTATATTTATCAGGTGTAAGTAACTTAACTACTGCAGACCCAGACTTCCGCATCGCAATCTCTAGTATGACCGTGACCTGTAATTACAGTGAAATATACATATTAAAGATCTAAAAAAAATTATTCATAAAAGAAGGAAATTGTAAGAAAAAAAAAACTACAAACAAATGCGTAAGCACAAACATGCATCCATACATAAATACATCTGTGCATAAAAAGTAAGCATAGTTTTGATCTGAAATGATGCCATGAGGTAGATGACCATGGAAGAACTCCATTAATAATACCGGAGAGAAAGTTTTGCAGATCTTTTGCTTGAAGTCCCGACACTAATACTTTCACAAAGCCTAAAGCAGCCTGTTTAATTTGCATCAAAAATTCATAACCATTTCAAGTAACAGAAGTACAAAGAATTTGAGATAGGAGTTAGAGGAGGATACTCACTTTTATGACCTCCACAGCTTTACTCTGCAGCAATTGTAGAACTGATGGGACCAGATCAGGTATCAAAAAGCAGACATTCGGATCATTATATACCATTAGAGATAGTGCAGACACTGCTCCACTCTTAATGTGCGGAGAGGAACCCGAGAGATAATCCATTATCTGAAAGTTTGCTACACTGATATCAATTAAAGCAAAAAGGAAAGTGGAGCAGCAAAAATTCATTGGACAAAGAATAAATGCAACCAAAAATAATTTACTAATTACCATATTTACCACACAACCGAGATCAATAAAGCGACAATAAGCCTCAGATCAGCACAACAAGCTTGCAACAAAAGTATAATTCTTCCTAACTACCACAGAAAACATGATTTCTTCAATTCAAAGAACTCAATAATCATTTACACAAACTTGAAAAGACACCAACTAGTTTCGTATTTGGAAAAACCAAATTAAAATTCTATCCATCATAATGAATTCCGAATATGCTTTAGATAACCAAGGCCTTCTTAAAGCCTTGATATCTTGGGGATTCTGACGAGTAACACATGCTGGAATCAAGTGCCTTGTTATCAAGCTGGAGATACCACATTAAGCATCCAACACTGATTGTAAACTTATATGTTTTCCACCACTGCAGAGTTTCAACTTACTTAAAAAATGAATCCTGACCAAAAAAAAAAAGTAAAAAAATGACTCCACACTGTATGACATTGACCTTTAACAATATAATATTTTACACGAAAGCATTATAAACTGGAGTTTCTCAACCAATACAATCAGGTAGGTTCAAAACAAGAATGTATCAGCTTAAGCACTACCTTCAATGCAAATCAACAAGAGAGCAAATCAAGTCATCAATTGGAGCAGAAAACTTTCACTTCTCTCATTTTTGTTCGTTGGTTTCAGGGTTATCTTCTGATGAAATTTTCAATAATTTGAACAGAGATAGCAGTGAGGTTTTTTTTTGTTCAGCGGTGAGGTATTTTTCAGGATATTAAACAGAGAATACATTATATGTTCGCCGAAATTTCTGATAAATTCAACGAACAAATTTCGTACCTTATGAATCCGAAGCAACTTCACTCGAAACACCAAAGATTTTATCTCTTCACTCGAACATTTGAATCCAAAGCAACTTCGATGAATCACCAAGGAGGCAACTTCGATCAATCACCAAGCATCTTCACTCGAAACACTGAAACGTCACGCTACCAAAACGCAGAGAGAGAGAGAGAGTGGACAGAGAAGTCGATCGTGAAGAAGGGGCTGCTATGGCTTACCCAAAACAACACTGGTTTTATTTTTTTAATGACTTAAAATGACGTCGTTTTGGAAAAAAAGGGTTTTTCTAAAGCCCAAAAACGATGTCATTTTGGTATTTTTAAAAAAAAATTATATTCTATGACAAAAAATAAAACGCCGCAAATAATATTTTAATTTTAATTTTTTAAAAAAAATTATATTATGAGACAAACATAAAAAAAGGTCACAAAAATATTATCAGAAAAAAATATTCCCGACAAACTTATAAAAACGTCGATAATTCATATTTTTATTTTATTTTTTACTTTAATTTTGGTTTAAAAACTAAAATTTATTTTTTGAGATAAAAAATTAAACGTCACCAATTAATATTTTCACTTTATTTTAATTTTAATTTAAATTATTTACTTTGGAGATGATTTAATATTATCTAGGAGAAACAAAATTTGTCGTAAAAAAATGTTAATTCTTGCCACTTTTTCAAATTGGGAGGGAATCGCCATTTCGCAATACAATTAGAAAAAACGTTGTAAAAAAAAATTAACAAAATATAAATTTGTAATAAAATTATAAAATTGTTGCAGATGAACGGTGTTGTTTTTAAAAAATATATTTTGCTACAAAAAAAAATGTCGCAATTAATATTTTAATTATAATTTAAAATTATAAAATTTAAATTCTGCGACGAATATAAAAATGTAGAGAAATAATAATTTTATTTAAGACAAAAATAAAGTTTATATTCTGCGACGAACTTAAAAAAATGTTGCTAAAGAATAAATATTTTCGACAAACTTATATGAAACACAGTAAATTAATACTTTTATGTTATTTTATTTTAATAACTAAAATTTATATTCTGCGACAAAAAACTTAAACATCGATTGCGAATTAAATATTTTAACTTTATTTTAATTTTGATTTTAGATTATTTATTTTTTGTGATGAATTAAAACTATCTTTGACAAAAAAAAAATTGTCATAAAAAATTATCAATTCCCACCATTTTTAGTTCCAAAAAAATTGGGAGGAAATCACATTTTCACTATGCACTTAAAAAGATGTCGCAAAAAAAATTGTCAAAAAAATAATTTGCGAGAAAATTATAAAATCTTTGCAAATAATATATTTTTTGTGACAAATTTAAAGAAAATAATTTTTGTTGTAGTGACTAAGATGTGGACCAAAGCTAATCTCAGGATCTACAGGAGGAGGATGGTTGCATTCCTGGGAGTCATACCCTATCCTTCCACAATGATAACAAAAATCACTCAATCTTTCATACTTTAGCTCGATCCATTTTGTTGGACTTCCTTCTCTCGGTAGCAAGAAGAAAGGGACAAGAGGTTTATTAATATCCAAAACGACCCTTGTCCTGAGATATCCTTTCCAGAACGGCCTCGGTGCAACCCCTGCTTGCTGGGAATACCTCTGTGTAGGAGGTATTCCCAGCAAAGACAGAGGTATTTAGGGTGAGAAAGATGCATTAGGAAGAGAAGGATTTGGATCTTCAGGCAATACTCCACCATTTCTGGGGAGAGCGAAGAGGCTCTACTCAAGAGCGAAAATGCTTCAGAGGTGTCATTCTTATGTTAAGTCTTAAAGATATTATAATATTATATAATATACAAAATGGAAGACTTCTAACTTTACAGGTTTATTCTTCAACCTTAAAAGAGTCTCATTTGATTCTTTATTAAACAAAAAAAAAAAAAAAACAACAAATTGCAAGATGATCTAGTCTTGTACAAAAGAGAGTAGAGACAAGGAAATCCATAGAACTCAAGAAGAATTTTACTTGTTTCATAGATTTGGATAACTATGATTGGATCATGCCTATGCCGTGTTAACGTAATTTTTTATGTGCACTTCATTGCATCTGAAATTAAGTTGTTTAAGTTAATTGCTAAACTAAGAAGTTTTAGTTATTGGGGATTAATAATTAGCAACTGGATGTTTATTGATACAATGCCAAATAATTATTTAATTGCTAGAATTTCTTTAGAGAAGCTTAAATTGATGGTTAGAAACTGAAATATTGAGTTAGGAAACTTAAATCGTGCATTTAGTTGGTGAACTTCTTATTAGAACTAAAGAAATGCTGAAACTTTTGTAGAATTTGAACTTAAGTTCATATTATGAAAGATACCAGTTGTAACATATGTATGCATCGAAGCATGACACCTTATGTTTAATTCTTGTTTTAAATTCTTTTTATGAGCAAAAAAAAAAAAACAGGTCTTGTTTTAAAAGGGTAAGGAAGAGGTGATGAAAATATGTAACAGTCAGGCATGAGTATTGAAGGATTTTCTTAAGAATAGAAAAGAAATTACCTAATTCGTCTATGGACACCCTATAGAGAAATATCAATAACTTTATCTAGAAAACTCGAAATGACGCACTATTTGTTGGGTTAGAAACTAAATACATAGAAATTTTCATTGGTATAGGATAGAGAACCTGGTTGCTACTGAGTAAATACTAGTGTTAGTCTAAAATTAAGTGAAAGTATAGGAGCTTGTAACGTTTCGAATTCGATGTCCTATGGAAAAATAATGGGAACGGTGTCTATGGGTTGTCGTTTTGAGCCTGTGATGTGTACTAAGAGAGATTACCGAACGAACACGGATAGGTCACCCTGATTTATGGTGTAAAACTCTAGAAAACATAGCAAACATGAAATTTCACCTTATGGGCTCGACAACCATAATTCACAAGCATTTTTCCTCTATGTTTAGAGTTTTAGTTATGTTATGAAGACTATAAAATCTAGTTTCAATAATTTCTTGCTGTAATCAAACAAAAATATCATGTTTTGCATACACTACGAGACATGAACTATAAATGCATGGGTAGTTGTAATCGCTTAACTTTCTTGCTATCCAAGTAATCTAAAAATTAAATTTAGGTGGTGGAAATATGTTCATATTGTTGGAATGTGTAGCAATTAGATAATTGATGATCATGAGTCCGAGAATTAACTCAAACTGCGGTGGGTCATCTCAAATCACCTCCAAATAATTTTTAATGCATTGTAAATCACATGAAGCGAAAGAGAAAACATGAAAGTATAGACCATGGTCTTAAATTTCGTTTCATTTCGTTTCGTACGAAACGTTTCATTTTTTACAAAATCAGAAACAAAACTTTAAAAGAATCTCTAGAAGTATTGATTTTCGATGAAACTCGAAACGTTTCTATGTTTTCGCACGAAACGCTCGGGAAGCAGTCCATTTTCGATTACTTTGCGAAAACTTAAAAAAAAGAAGGAAGAAGGGAAGTTCATTTTCAAGTTCGACTGAACGAGAAGTCGAGAGACCCAATCGGCCACTTCCCACCCAACTCAAAGAGTTTTACACAGATATCAACTCTGGTGAAGTTGGGATCTAATCTCAGCTGAAAATTAGGGATTTTAACGTAGATCTCAGTTGAAAATTAGGGATTTCACCTGATTTTCCTGGGTTGTGAGGATTAAACCAATTTAAATGAAAGGAGTGGAGCATATTAAACAACAAGAAGAGCCATTTTAAATCATTTTTTTATAGATATGCCACCAAAGGCGACAAAACAAAGAAAACATGATATTGGGTGGGATCATGGCGAAATGATCGACAACAATCGTATGTAGACAAGATGCAAATACTGCGAAAAAGAGATGAAAGGTTCTGGGGTATCACGCTTAAAACAACACATAGCTGGCGATTTTTCAAATGTTGAAAAATGTCCAGTGGAGGTGTCAAGGGCAATGAGGGAGCACCTTGATAGTCAAAAGACCGAGAGCGAAGAAGTAACTATAGAGAGAGCTGCTAGGGAGACTTTGATGGAATCCACACGAAAAAAAAATGGAATTGATGTAGATAGTTTTGATTGTGATGAGTACGTTGATTTAG